CGTTCACGTTTCTTCCTTGTCGATTATGTAAATATCTGGAACAAATTACCTTCACAGCTGCGGGAGATTCACATTCCACAGGCTTTCAAGCAGAAGGTACGAAAGTTTATGTGCCTGGATAACATAAGATGCCTTTTCAACATCTGTGATTCTGATGACAACCTTTTTGAGACCGGCCCCGATGGGGCATAGATCACATTTTGGTCAGCTCTAGCGCAACTTTGTATTGCGCTCAACTAGGCTCCATGACAGGAGCATCTTGGGCTCACAGGTCCTCCCCATACTTTGCGGTCCCTGTCACACTACGTGAGAGATCTTGGCCCGATCAGTTGCACGCATCTTACAGATGTTAGGACTGCTAATCCGACCACAAAAGGTATTCAGCCTACCCCAGTAGTAGCTGAGCGCTTTACTGGCTCCCTCCGACAATTAGTTAAATGGGAAGTCTTGAAATAGTAGGCGCTACCGCAAAGGCAACCTGGAAACACTAATCGGTAGCTCAAACCCTTTGAAAGCTCCTTCTCGACGCCCAGTTTCTTACTGCTCAACAGATCAGCACGTAAAGCAGCCCAGTACCATTGAATGGGAGCATCGTAAGCCTGTAGGCACTGACCAGATAGGATATTGCATATTAATGGGGATGCAATCCGAACGGACAAACTTTACTTCACTTCTCCCTTCTTTTCTACACTTTGGTTCCTTCGTCTCCAACTTTACCCCTTAGTATTTTCCAAATACCTGGTCCACCAGGTCTCTTGTGAATACTTATACTTGTGACCCAAGAGTCACGTCTACTAAAAACATTTTGACAACACTAAGCCTCATGTAAAATGCCAGGTTCTAGCTTTGTTGCCCTAATTGAAGCTTTTTCATTAAGTCTGAGCACTAGTTACTATAGTCAGCTGTTTCCAAACACTATCAGTAGGTAAGCCGCAAAATAAAAATATATCTTTCTTATTGTTGACAATGAGCGCACTTTAAAAGTTCTAGACCCAATAATCAGACATTTTGCTCTCCACTTATACTCTCTTGGCCCCATATACTTAGCTTTATCTGGTATACATGTGCCTTCCGCTATTGTCAACACTAATAGACAGGCATAATGAAAACCAGATCCTCTTCTTTAACTGCTTTTGCTCGTAAAACACTCGCATTTCTAGATTTCATTTCACTGGCACGAAAGCTAACCAACGACAGAGAGGCCCCTCTCATACTGGCTGGCTGGAGCACCAGAAACTTTCCACCACCACTTTTCTTATCTTGGCCGTCCGTGTGTCATTTATCTTTTAGCTGGCTCCAAAGCCTACAATGCGCTATGCGTAATGGCGGGTGAACGACCAGCTCCCACTGGTCTTTGTTACTATTCTACTCCTGATTTACCTTATCGCTCTTTGCTTAGGGTGCTAGAACAGTTCTTGCCAGGAAAATCACAAAAGAAATAGTCGGTGTGACATTAGAGTACCAGTTAACATTGCCAACTGGATGAACACCACCGGCACTATCTTCGAAACTTAAAAATGGAGAGAAATAAATCGAAATTTATCAAAGAGCTGCACAATAGTGTGCATCTACACATGAGACATAACAATTCCTCAAGTACGAGCAAGCTCAACCACCAGAAGTAGAGTTGTTAAAGCCCAACCAATGTAGACCAAAACGGATTTCACACCCAAATGCAATTAGCTAAATTTTACTAAATTTTCCCATGCTTATTTCTTTATTATTGGGGGCAGGCTCTTATAGCTCACTGACGTTAGAGACAGAGCCTCATGAATATAGAAAATCGGCTCTAAGGGATAAATCTTGTGATGTTTAGCTAAGTAATGTGTGTATTTTGTAGGCCGAAATCTGTCAACGGATCTGAAAGATCCCCAGAGTTACTCAGGTAGACCTGGCTCATGCGGACTTGTTGTAAGCTTTAGAAAAGCTTAGAGGCTTAAAAAATGCTAAACTCTATTTTACTGGTTGTTTATGTGGCTCAGTATCCCCTGAAAACGGTATGCTGTGGCCTTCTAACCGTGAGTTACTTACAAGCTCCCCTGAATTCCCATGTAGGTATAATATTCCTTGCTGGATTTCTAGCGTTTTCGCGCAAGATCATCCCTTATCTGCATGTATTTGTCATGTACGCCTGCAAAGATTACTTTTCGGCCACCTGCACAGTCCGTAGTTGTCGCAGGGTATTACGGGCTAATTAGAGCATTTCTGGATAGCTATGCCTATCTAGAACATACGCCGCTTCCCTACTTTTTCTATTTTCTTTTCTTTTTTCTGCTCTCTGCTTGCAAAGCAGAAAGCCATTTTTGGCGAAAAATAAAAATGGCTTTATTCGTAGACCCTTATTTAATTGCGAATAACTCGCAACCTACTGCACTTATTGTGTTGCTTTTACATTCAGCGTATTCAGACGCTAAAGCTGGTCCAGACCAGTGTAATTTTGTGCCACTTAAAGCAGTATTTTAACTGTAGAAAGGCTTTTTCTTTTATCTGAGAATAACTCAGGTTGAAATTTTGCGCCGGAGAGCAATATCAGCGTAAGAAAAGTAGGGCTATATTTTTTTGTTAATTGGTATTTTTCTACTGAAGCACGCAGCTTTATTTTCTGTCTTTACAAATTGTTTCTATTTTTGTCCGCATTTATCGGAATTGTTTTCAGCTTTTCGTATGCCTCATAATCCCTTCACACATTTCTTCCATGTGCGCACAATTGGGGCAACTGAGTGGCCAATGAATGTGCGATCAATTTAAAGTGCACTTTCGGCGACTTGGATTCTGTTCCAAGGAGAAAAGGCACAACTACAACTCCGCGAAGTTTTCACAAAAGAACAAGGAGTTCAATATCGCCCGCAGGAACCAGAAACATGTCAAGTTGGGCGCCTGCGACCCAGTAGCTGTATATCAAACAATGCCAATGCATTTGTAATTGCTGACGATAAACATATACTTATATTTTACCTACTTCCATGCAAGAGCATCGGATTTATGTGAGCGTTGATCTGAACTCTTTAGGGTGCAGCCTCTAGCAGGTCTAGAAATATACCTATTTATTTATTTATTTATTTCTAATTTGCAAGTGAACGACGGGATCGATACTTCATTTTAACCAGCTCAGTCGTCCGACATCTATATGCAACTTCAGCGAATCCGTTCTGGAAGAGAGATTTCAACCGAATTTGTTATAAAGGACGTTTTAGTAGAGACCCGAGCATCCCACTTGCAGTTAGGAACAGTTGTACTGACCCTTTACTTTGGTTCCTTTGCTTATGAAACCGTGGTAAAATCGCACCTAACCCTGGCTACGGCCACCATAGTTGGAAACTAGCTTTATCCGCCCTCCAGCGCCAACATGTTTCTATTTCCCATTGTTATCCGAACAAATGCTCACGCGCGTACACTACGAAAACTTAAGTTTCAAGTGTTCTATACAAATAATTTTATTGTTCCAAAGTAGCTGTAAATGTATACATTTTTAAGCAATACGTCAATGGTATGCCTCGTCCTAACAAAAATATACCATTTATTTACTTGTTTCTTGATGAAATAGAAGATAAACGTAATTAAAAATTCCATGAAACAAAAAGCTATTCGCAAGCGCATATTGGGCATGTGTCGCCTTCCATGGTTGGGGGAATGCAAAAAAATGCTCCATGGTTAGCTGAAATCTTGATGCATTATCGGGTTGCATCTGCCGAAGTTAGTTTGGCAATAATTAGGCATTAAAAATGAAGTAAATAAAAGCAAGTTATTGATCTGATGACTTGCGGTGGCCATTATTTTTCTGTTTACCAGTATCCTGAGTTAAAATAACCTGACAAGCAGGGGCGCTGTGAAATTAAGCACCAGGACACACATGCAACGCGGATACCGTTAAAACAGGAAACTAACCGATCCGATATGAAGGCACCGGGATTGAGGGATTTAACTTGGTGACGTAGTAATTCGGAGGTTCGTGTAACCAACGGCGCTTTAAGGCCAATGAGAATACCGAGTTTCGCTTCCCTGTGTTGGATCGGTGCTACATAATCAAGGCACGCGGCACAGAATGCTAGCCTAGTTAAGGGCAATTTTGAGATTTGCGGGACGTGGAATGGCGGCGCATGTCAACCTCACACTGCCAACAGGTAATGCCACACGAAAACCGCTTACGGTGAGGGGCAGCAACTCGGTTCTGAGCTGAATTGAGCTTCGAACATAAAGGGAAACGGAGACAGCAATACATGCAAACGATACGGCGACTGGCGGCGAGCGTAAGTACCGGCACTCCAGGACAATGCAGAAAAAGCGCATGAGGCAATTGTTGCTCGTTGCAAGTTGACAAAGATGGGCGCTTTCTGTATGCAGGCACGAGACGTGGCACTGTCAGCATGCGAAACCGGAGGGAGACCGAGCACGTGAGCATTTCCACTGTTAGCTAAGAAAGTATAAACTGAAATGCTTACCTTGGCTGTTAGTGAGTTTTCATAAAATAATAGGGCAGCTATGCAGACAACAGATACTGGGGCGCCGTGGGAGCGTCAGCAGGACGGATGACTCGGTCGCATCTCCGCATGGACACCACAAGCCAACTAAGTAATAAGCGTTGATTTTACCTGTGGCTGGTGTAATACAGTGGCTCATTGACATTGCTCTTAGAACTGGCAGCGGAGACAGAGGCAGCGCGTGGCGCCATAAAAAAGCGAATAAAGGCGCCGCATCTAAATAAGGACACAGAAACCCGAATAATGAATAATTGTGGACTATACCTATGATCTTTGTAAAATGTGCTCGTTCATTGACGTGCTAATGGTACAGGCTGCATGGTCAGTGGCAACATGTGCAGCGGCAGCATGGTAGAGGACGGCGGCGGACCCCAAGAACGTCACTGAAAGCCCTGTTAAGTATATGTGTTAATGTACCTGTGGTGCGGGAACCAACTGGTCTTTCATTGCCTTTGCTAATAGAAATGGCAGCAACGACGAGTTCACAGGAAAGTAACTGGCGGACACCTTGCAGTAGCACAGATGGTCAATCTCAGACCGGCTGAAATATTAATTTCTTGCACACGTGAACCGTACGTGTAATCGGGGAGGAAATGACATGCTTCAGATAAAGGTCTGCATGTGCACCCTGAAAGGCAAGCATGCAAGACTGAACAGAGTAAACGGGGGCCGCAATACTTAGGACTGCGGAAGCAAATGTACCGCTGTAATTGGCTTTTCAGGTATGTCTTAGAAAGCATTCACTGATTTTACAGCGGAAGGCACGGGGTAACCCACGTTTTCAGAGCTTTGCTGACGCCTAAAATTATCTACATGTCTGCGGACGCGGCAAGGTATTGCAGTGCCTGCAATAGGTAACCGCTTTCATAGCTTCAGGATACCCAACAACGGCAACTGTTTAGCAAGTGTCAACATCAAGGCATTTGCCAAGATACCCTGTGAGAAAACTGCAAACGCAACAAGCGCAGTCCTCCGGGCTACTGCAGTTATGGCCTGTATACATCGGTGTGTAGGGGTTTGCTCTTTGTCTCAATTACTATCTCTCTCTTCAGTGGCTCACCGCAAAGCGGTGTTTTGACCGCGGTTGTTCCCCATATAGCTGAATGACCCATGCATTGAGCCTAAGGAACCATTGCTGACATGTACTGTTGACATGATGCTGTATCGTATGGTCTATGTTTCTCGGGGGTTACGAAGGAATGCTGCTTGCCGCAGGTAACCTATGCGAGTAGTTTACTATGTGTTGGCTGTGCAGGAATTCGGCGTATTTCGTGTTTTGTGATTAAATGCACCGTTCCTTCGGACTCTACACTTACGACACTTTTGTGTGAATACTTGACGTTTCCATTCGGCCTTATCTGCAAAACCGCAAGCAACATTGGTTGCTTTGCCTCCTTCGGAACAAAATACAGATACGGAGAGTGTTTTATGTGCAGGTGCAACTTCTGTCGGCGTCTTAAGGAGCCTTTACGGAAAGCTCAGAGACATGTACTAGTAAGCTAAATTAAGCCTACTGGTAAGCTTGGCCAAAGGTGGATATGGCTAGCTATTCCAGCTGGATATATTCTCACGGCGCTCGCTACATTAATTGGTTGAAACCGCAGCGTTATGCCCTTATTGCTGAAAGGATGCAAGGCACGCGTAATCTGGCGGTGCTCCCAAATAGTTTCTCAAAGAGTGATACCAAATACTCTCGTGGTATGTGGTTGCAGTGCTCAAGGGCTTTTTGAGCAACACATTAAACAAGAGGTAAGAAGTTTCTTTGAACCCGCGATTAGCTTTCTGGTTTTTTGAACTGCCGCGTCCCTTTAGATGTTGTGCATCTACTGGCCGCATACCCGCAGATACTTTGACTGTATGCAGGGCTCCTAATATGTACCACTGTGGTCCCTCACCAGTTAACTACGCGCGATCAAGCAGCTAGGACAAGAGCAAGACTGATTCCACTTGACTTAGTGAAGCAGAAGACGAATTTGATTACAGTCTGCAGCTCGGTGTCGTCGGACTGTCCAACGGCCCATTAGGAATGCCTCTCCACATGCTTCGGTGGAAGTTCTTGGGGGTCATGCGCCATAGCTGCAAGCATGGAACCTTAAATAAGGTAAGCATGTCAAGTCGCTGCTTTAGCACACACATCGGGGAGCAAGTGCCAGTAGAGTAAGCAAGCCATTGTTCAGCGACTTCCATTTAATTTGCCTATGTAAAGTCCAAGAGCAGAAGGTAGCATGAAGGAAACTGACGTCAAACCCCTGTTTGTAGACCAATGAATGGAGTCGCTGGGTCCTTAAGCATTTCCTCTTAGCGCTCCATTACGCACACGGTCTAGGACAAGCAATCCTCAAACCTAAAATGATGTCTCATACACCAAGAGTAAGCGAAGCGACGGCGTTGCTTCAAGCACCTGGAACACTGGGAACTATATGGAAGAACTTTTTAAAGTACGGCACCGGCGGTCACAATACTGTGTAACGCAATGCAACTGTACGTCACAAGCAGCCGGCTAAATTAGTTGGATGCCATTTGTATGCTGCTTGTCGTGCACAATTAGATGATAAGTACATCGGCCGGCAGTGGAACAAGTGGGCTATCCGTCTCGCATCTAATTATATACCTAGCTGGATATTCCGTATGGACGGGGGTGTAAACCTATTTCTTTTAATACCTGAACGTACAACGCGGATTGGTTACCTCGCTTATGAAAGCCTTACAAATATTGGCATCGTGCAAGTGGTTATAAGTAACGTTACTACAATGCAAGAATATAGAAGTTTGCCGTGAAATTTAACACATACCATACAGAAAATAGCACGTCGCAGCGACCTCCAAATATCGCATTAATTCGCGTTGGATGTGGACACCAACAACCCCTGGAAAAAGAAACCGTGCAGATGCTGCACGTGCACTTACTTGCAGCGAATCTTGTAAATAAATAAATAAATAAATAAATAAATAAATATTTATTCTCGACTAGCGAGGCACGCCAGTTGAGGCATGATCAGGTATGTACAGCTGTACAGACATTTTATGGGAACTGTAGTGACAGTAGAAAATTGTTCATATGTCCATGCTTGGAACTGTGCGATGGTGAACATGCGAAAGAACGATTTGTTTGGACATAATCGCTCTGCCATATATCGCAGTCATACCTCGAGTAATAATAGATAAAGAATCCTGAGTGATCCATTGAAAGATAATTGAAGAGCAAGCTATCCAGTATGATGATTCTAATTGAGCTGCCAGTGTGAAGTTATAGGCTGTGACTTTATTCGGTGGCGAGTCACATTCGCCACGTTGCAGTGTTGTTGTGTACACCTGTTCAACTTTGTATGCAATCAGAGATGATGGCACCGCTCGCTGCTGATGTCATGCGTTATTCAATTCAGCTGTTCGTTGTTGTCGCTCGCACAGCACCCAAAAGCCACTTTAGGTATTCGCTGTGGACCTAGATGGTCCATTACGCATCCACTACGTTTGGAACCGAGCGGACCTTGTAGTTTGCAGTCTGTGGAACTTCATCACATTTACGGCGCTGCATTGCATCGAAACGTCCGTGACACCAAAGTTGAAAAGAGATTTGCGTTTCAGAGCACGTCTCCCACACGTAGGCCCGTATACGGAATTCGCTTTGGCAGCATCATGTGGGTAACAGTCGCATTGATCTGTGTCACGGGTTCATTGCCTCATGCGATTTAACTGCAGCATTTCCAGCTCTGTCCGAGTGCCAGGTGGTTGCATCTCCATGAGTGGCAATCAAGAAGGGTGCCCTCAGGTTGACTGTCGAAAAGCTGAAATACTTGAAAACCGGCCAAAATGCGCCTCACTACTACTTCTTACCTTTAAACAGACAAAAGTGCTAAATCCTGGACCTTGGCCCGTTGATGTGCCCACGATGGGTCAACCTAAGTGATGCAAAAACCCATGCTCTTGCATAGATAATGAGAAGGTTGCGAGTAAATGCGTTTTGTACACAAGCACCAATCACGTATTGGAGCTACGTTTGTTACAAAGTCATCCGCAACAATCGGCATTTTCACGGCCGGACACTTGAGCGGATTTGCTCCGCCGTACGCGCCGCGCAACTAAATAAATACATAAATAATTTATTCTTGTACATTTTGTGGCCACCTGGAATGAGAAACGCTTTACATGGGATTGTTCCGCAACAGGCATGTTGCTATGCATGAAGTGCGACGTTCCTACAATTAACAGAAGCTACCGAAATGGCGGATGCGCCGGTCAGGAACGGAACCTACAATGATGTGCCGAAATGCTGGGATCAAGCATACGTAAAAGCGTAACGAAGAGAGTGGCGGCGGAAGGTAGAAACAAGGGATTGCCTTATTAGTGTACATACCCAAAATATATTTAACTAATGTGAAATGTCGCTCTGGTTACTTTGCCAGGGTGAGATTTTGGGCGGCGACAATATTCAGTGACAAGTCGCATCCTACAAGTCGCGGGGTTGTTAAACGGACCACTGTGGCTCTTTACAGGGAGTACGCTTGCCAGGTGAACACCCACCATATCCTGCAACACTGTCTTTAAGCCGTTTGAATGGTAAGGTTTAACTAACCATGTAACCTACAGACCGATTGTACGCTTGGCTATTTGTGGGCATATGAGCCTTAATTCTGCGTTTACTAACCGAATTGCATAGCCAAGGTCCAGCATTAATCGTTGGGAGCGGTCAAGAAATGTAATGTCCAGAAAAGTCGGGTCAAGGAATTTGCAGGCCAGTAACTATTTCGAATTAACGGACTTTGGCTTTACCTTTGTTGTATAATGGTCCTAGCGTGAAAGCTTCGTCTCAACGCCGGGGCCTTGAATTCCAGCTAGTACTCTTTTGTGTTCTTTGTGGTCCCTTATAACAATAACGACAAAGCGTAGCGCTGCCGTATTTGCTCACTTTGTTATTACGAATTAGGATCCATCTGTCGAACAAGTTTACTCCAAAACATTGAATTGTGTAAGCGCATTCAATAGCGCTGTTTATTAGCGGGCTCATGGAAAGAAACTAGAGAGATGGTGACAGAAAGAACAGGACAAATATTAAGAACATAATTTTTGGTAAGCATTAAAAAAGCTTAACCGGTTCACCTTTTGGTGAAATGAAAATACAAACAAGATACAACGAAAGCTTTTCTCAGTAAAACGGTGACCCAGCCTTATTCACTGGAGCCAAAGTTGGTACTGCCGAAATACCTTCGGCTTTGAAAACCTGTCTCCCTCTTAAGGTTTAGTGTACCTCATATCTCTGAGCACCATATTTTGCATCCGTTTTGCTGTTTTTGAACTTGCCGTCAGTTAACGGAGGTCTGAGGTAAATGGTAGTGTTGTAAGACAAAGCGTGAAAGTCAAGACAGCTTGCATGTTTGTGATTTCTCTGATTTAAACTGCTCCAGTATGCCGGGCTTAATTATGGAATAATTAGGTGTAAGAGTTATCAAGGTATAAAAACGGTGCGAGCTGGTTGTCCACTTGCCAATGCGCCTGACGTATGATAGGATTATTGAGCTTGCGTAAACGCGTAAACGTCCACGTTTTGCCGAAAGCCAAAAAAACCGTGCTTACT